TCTACAATCGGACCCCTTTGAAGCGCCATCAATGGCTGACTCCTTATGAGGTCCTGAACAAGGAAGCTCCCGACATCAAGCACTTACGTGTCTTTGGATGCGGAGCGTACGTCTACCTGCCTAAGGAAACCAGACCCAATAAGTTATCGCCTAAAGCTGAGCTGATGACTTACATTGGTGTCGCTGATGGCGGCCATGGCTTCAAATTCATGCGCGCCAATAATAGTATAGTCACTCAGCCTACTGCGCTGTTTGACGAAGCTATGTTCCCTAAATGCCCTAATACAAAGCGACGGGCAAGCACTAGGCTGCAAAGTGCGCCTAAACCAGCTGACAGTCAACCAGAAAATTCTGATGATGACTGGATCACTGATGACGATGAGCCAGACTCACGTCTTCCTCCTAAATCCCAAAAGGGGCCAGGCCAGGATCATGACGACGAACCTGCGCAGCCTGAGGCGCGAGAGCCTGAGAACCCGCCTTCTCCACCTCCGGGGGATCCTGCGCCACAAGATGAGCCGCGGAGACCGGTGAGAGAAAGGAAACCAGTAACTCGCCCGGGTAATATCTACGGTGAATCGCGGAATCCCGTAGAAACCTATCGCGAGATTGAGTCAGACAAGAAGTGGAAGGATTTAGTTGGCGAAAAACCCAAGACGTCGCGCATACCTCGCCAGTCCAAGCAGAAGCCACAGGTTCCCGGACCTAGCTCTGCCCCTCCACCTCGCGACCCTCCTGCTCAATCCCCGGGTGCTTCGCATGAGCCAATCGCTCCTGAAGCCTCTGACCAGCAGTCTGAACACAACGCTGATGAGTTACTTCTGGCACAGCTATGCCGGGAAGGGGGAGTACCATTGATTAATTACCTGCTTCTGAAGGCTATTTCGCCTGAGGCAGATGATCCAGACACGTCCAATGTCAGAGAATGGACGTACCGCGATATCCTTCGCTTACCACCAGAAAAGCAGAAGGAATGGAGAGCTGCTTGCCACAAAGAATTGGATGCACTTCGTCGGCACAGAGTCTTCGACTTGGTTGACCGCCCTAAAGGGCGTAAAGTTATTAAATGTCGCTGGGTATTTGACGTCAAATCAGATGGACGTCGCAAAGCGAGATTAGTCGCTAAAGGCTTCTCGCAGGTTGAAGGTATAGACTTTGACCAAATATTCTCACCAGTTGTGCGCTTTGAGACAGTGCGCCTTATGCTCGCACTAGCAGCGCTTGAGGACTGGCACATATCTGGACTCGATGTGCGCAATGCCTATCTTTATGGCAAACTGGATGAGGAAATTTATATGGAACAACCTGAAGGCTTCGCCGCAAAAGGCCAGGAGCACAAGGTTTGTAGACTGCGCCGTGCACTCTACGGACTTAAGCAAGCGGGGCTTGCCTGGTGGTGCACACTTGCTGAGTCTTTAGAGAAATTAGGCTGCAAACGTCTAACTACCGATGCTGGCATCTTCTTATTTAAGGAGAAGGATGGCCGCATGGTAATTATTGTCGTCTATGTTGACGATGCCTTGTTCTTTGGCAAGGACAAGTCTCTCGTGACAGATGTTAAGTCACGATTCATGAAGAAGTGGGAATGCAGGGACCTTGGCGATGTCAAGGAATTCCTACGCATGCGCATTACAAGGCAAGGCAGAGAGATTCATCTTGATCAGATCGCCTACCTTGATAAAGTGCTGCAGCGTTGTGGCATGCAGAATGCAAAATCTGCACCAACTCCTCTCCCTGCAGGCTATCGACCTGAACCTCACAATGGCCCGGTCAATCCTACTCTTCGTAGCCGGTTCCAAACTGTGATTGGTTCCTTGCTCTATATTATGCTCGGAACTCGACCGGATATCAGCTATGCAGTTACCAAGTTAGCACAATTTGCTGCTAATCCATCCCAAGCCCATTTAGATAAAGCGCTGTATATCTGCCGCTATCTAATCGGGACTCGTAATTACACACTAGCTTTTGATGGTGCTAGTGGACTTGGTATTACTGCGTGCACTGATTCGGACTGGGCATCAGACCCCAGTACCAGGAAGTCCCAAACCGGCTACTTCCTTAAATTAGCCAATGGTATATTCAGTTGGCAGTCGAGAGCGCAGAAAACTGTTGCGCTATCCTCCACTGAAGCCGAGTACATGGCGCTCAGTGATTGTAGCCGCCAATGTGTATGGGTTAGACAACTCTTCGATGAGTTAGGCTACCAACTCGGCCCCATCCCTATTTGCGGTGACAACCAAGGATCTATATTCCTTGCATCTAATCCAGTCACCGAGCGAAGGTCTAAACATATTGACATTCGCTATCACTATATCAGGGAAGTCGTCGAGCAGAAAAAAAGTTGAAGTATTCTACATCGATGGCGAGAATAACCCTGCAGACATGTTCACTAAAAACTTAGGACATGTCAAGTTCCTGCGCTTCAGAGCGCAACTCGGACTTAGGTTCTACAAGTAATCTAAGTCAGCCCAACGCTTGCGTGCGCGATTACCCACGGCACTTAGCGAGGGGGAGTGTTGAACTGGGCGCTGACTTAGCTGCCAGGTTCTACAACATACCAGAACGTACCAGAACCCTCTGGAACATTCTGGTATATTCCATTATTGTACAATGGCACAGAGCTCATGTGGGTCAGTGACATCATAGGTGGAGCTCAGTAGGATTATAGATATTCCACGTAGCTTAGTCAGCCTATGGGCCACAGTGTATATAAACCCTGCAGCTCTGCTGCCTAATGACAAGGGTCGTTCATACGAGCTTTTCTAATAGCTACAGCATCCAACCAATACAGGTGAGTTGTGTAGGGTGCACTGTGCGTGCTGCTGCCTCCATAACTCTTCATCACTCACTCATCATGTCAGGCCACTGCTGACCTATGTCCATCAGACCAAACGGTTCGCGGATAGCTACGGTGAGACCTTGAAGACCACATGAGCCTCGATGATCACTCGATTTGCAGACCCGGATACGACAAGCTCTAACATATCACAACAATAATTGCTTACTACCCCCATCCTAATCTTTCAAGACTACATCTATATTCGGGATGCTCGAAGAGGAGGAACCACGCCAACTCCAGGTTTCACCTTCTTTGGGGGCGATGAGAGCCTACAGGCTTTGATGGAAGAGCTCAGTAGCTTTTTCCCCTGCGGGGGTTTTTTAACGCGCTGGGCGAGGACTCCATCACTGTCCTCTTTTTTCACTTGCTTGAATCATCACCATTCTCCGCCACCACTGTTTATTTTCAAACTGTGGTCTCCCGCATTCTCCGTACCTCAGACGAGGGGGAGCTTCGCTTTGTTTAAGTCTCATTTTCTGCGTCATCCAGCAAGGATTGTATATTAATGTACTGCAAGGTCCAACATACGGGCATCGCCCTCGGGACCCTAAATGGATTTAAAATAAAAAAAAAGCCCTGGTGCCACCTAGGAACTATGGCTCGGGCTATTATGATAATTATAAAAGGCGGATTCTGTTTTGTAGCGCAAAACGCGGCCAGCTGACAAATGACTGGACACAATACTGCACCAGACAGCAGTACTTAGTCACTGACTTCTGAGGGAACGTAGGAAGCCGATGTGGATTCGGGAGCTCGCTTGCATTTCATTGGATGGGGCCGCCCGCGGGCAGTTATACTATAGGCGTGGCGAAATAGATCTATAACTGAGTTTGAATGATATAGTTCGGACTTCGAATTGTTATACTGTATTCGGAAGGTGTTCTCACGCTTGTGGCCCCGCATGCACATGCCATCCTCCAGCCTCCCTACCTTTTCACGATGCATGCAAGCTTCCTACTGAAGCGATCCCATCCAGAATTGTTTGTAAAATGAAAGAGACATATTGTGTTGGAGAATGTGACCAAAAATGCGCTTTTTGCCGCTTATGGTGCTATTTCACTCCCAAGATTGGGGCTGAAGAGCTATATCTGTACTGTGAGATCCGGGACACAGCTAGGTAGAAGTACTACAGTTAGGTAAATGACAAGTGGTTCATTAAGGTTGGGATGCATAAAGTGAGTGGCGCGACAGCGCCGCCGAAAAAAATATGATTTTGACTTCCAGGTTGCTTAATTTCTTGCGATTCACATGAGCAGTGGGATACGCATAGAGGTGTCCATTCAAACTTAAAATACCACCAGGTTTTGCCTTAAGCTATACAGAGAGTTAATATAGCGCGCAGTGCTGCGAAGCAAAATTCATGTGCTGTGGAAACCGAAGAAACTAGCCTCGAGGGATATTCAAGCCACGGGAGATCCCTGAATATAGCACTAGTATACCCTTTCAATAATATACCCCTTCTGAAGCTCACGGGCCCCGAACGGAGTGTCTTTCCCTTCTCTTTCTCTCTCTCCTTCGATTTAATTTCTTTAATTTCTTTAATTGATCTAAAAGTCCACACCTATAGTACATAAGCCCGCCCGCGTGATCGTCGATGTATTTTGCTCGTTATACGGTATGGAATTGCCCTTCGGGCAACTGTCGCTCGAGGACCAACGCGCTCTCTATATCGAGTGTGTGGCTAGTTTCAATATGCATAATATCCTGCGGAAATTCCATGCGAGCCATCCAATTGAAGACAGTCGACAACTTCAAGTCCGAAGTCGCGATAGTGGCGTTCCGCACGTGACCGTGCTTATTGCGAATCTGACAGTGATAGCGAGTACTCGCGTCGTTACTACTTAGCGCCATCTGGCAACGGTCTCGCCGGTTATTCTTTCAGAGGATGCCCCCTTTCGAGCTAGGAACTAGGGCGGCGAGCGCGGGTTGGGAGCGACAATTCCCAATATTCAGCAAGCAATGTGATAGAAGTAGCGAGGATGGCCCTAGAGGTCGTCATTTATTGATCTCCTTCCCGACGGCCAAGTTTCTCCGCTGGCCAATTGAAACTGCGCCCTGATGATGAACGTAAGGTTCGAGTCACATAAATACACAGGGAAGCGACAGCGTTGCGTGTCGGGCGACCATCTGCAGACGTCCTTGTTCTGAAGGGTTCACCATGAAGGGCTTCGCAGCTTGGTCTTCTGTCCTGCTCGGACTTACCTCATCCGTCATTGCCGCACCCTCGAAGTACGCTCCCACTATCAAAGAGGCGGTCGAAGTTCCGAGGGGATGGGTCCGAGTTAGCCCTGCGCCGGCAGACCACGTCGTGGACCTGCGATTCGGTCTCCCTCAACACAACTTCAAGCAGCTCGAGCAGGCGCTGTATGAAGTAAGCGACCCCTTCCATGACCGGTATGGACAGCACTTGTCCAAGGAGGAAGTGGAAAGCCTCGTAGCGCCGCACCCGAAGACTCTGGAGGCGGTGGATGAATGGCTAGCGTCTCACGGGATAGCGAAATCAATTTGTTCTCGCTCACCTGCGAAGGATTGGGTTATGGTCAAGGTTCCAGTGAGCCTCGCAGAGAAGATGCTTGATACTGTAAGTCGGGCGGTATACTCCGTGATCGAGTCTGTACTCACTTCCCAGTCGTAGACTTATCACGTCTGGAAGCACGCTGAAAGCGGTGATACCCTTGTCCGGACCACGAGTTACAGCCTGCCCGCCCACATGCATGAACACATTGAGCTCGTGACGCCTACGACCTACTTCGGTCGTCCCAAAGGACTGGCCACCACATTCCGTTGGTCAGACGCTCAAGCGTCCCTCGCCTCATCTGGAGAGTCATCGATCAGAAGCGCCTCGGGTACTGTCGTGGACGCTAGCTGCAATTCCACCATTACCCTCACGTGCCTGCAGGAGCTATATAATGTTACCGGATATACCCCCGCGGCTACGGACGTCAATAAGATTGGTATAACGGGCTACCTTGAACAGTATGCCAACATCCAGGATCTGCAGTCTTTCTACGCAGATCAGCTTCCAAAGGCCGAAGGCTCTACCTTCAATTATACATCAATCAAAGGTAGCCCCGTCGAGCTTGGAGCACATCATGATATCTGAGATGTATGACTTCCACAGGGGGCCAAAACAGTCAGAATCTGTCAGAGGCTGGCATTGAAGCCAATCTTGACGTGCAGTTCGCGTACGGTCTGAGCTGGCCTACCCCTGGCTACTTTTGGTCCACTGGAGGGAGACCTCCTTTTATACCCGATCTCAGGACGGTAAATAACACCAACGAGCCCTATGCTGATGTACGTAGTGTCTGACAATACGCGGCCTCCGTGGACTTGCTGCTCACTCATGCATCCGGGCAGTGGCTCGAATATGTCCTCTCTGTCCCTAACCCTCCGCAGACAATTTCTACTAGTTACGGAGAGTGAGTGATGTCCTCTCGTCCGAGATGTCGTGGCAAAAACTTACGCACGACCTATTGATAGTGATGAGCAAACCGGTAGCTCTTCGACCTCGTTGAAATAGACACTCATGCTGATATGTCTGTGTCGGCAGTTCCACTGAGTTACGCTATCCGTACTTGCGCGAGCTTCGCTCAACTGGGTAAGTTCTGAGTTCCTAAACCAAGACATTCAGGACTCACATCGTGCACCGGGCCTCAGGCGCGCGTGGAGTGTCCTTACTGTTCTCCTCCGGCGATGGGGGCGTTGGTGACGGCGACGCTAATCCTGCTACTCAACAATGCAAGACGAACGATGGTCGCAATGCTACTCGCTTCATACCTGCCTTCCCTGCAAGCTGCCCTTAGTGAGTTTATGGAATAATGTGAAAGACGGACGATTTTTCAGATTCTGTCTAGCGTCACGGCGGTCGGTGCGACGGTCTCTATCCCTGAGAAGGCTGTCGACTTCACAGGAGGAGGTTTCAGCAACGTCGTGCGTATCACAGTCCCTCCTGCGAAGCCAGTATGCTGATGTATTCGTAAGTTCCCGACACCGCTGTACCAAGTCGGCGCGGTGGCCAGCTACCTTGCACGCCTCCCTGCAGGCACCTACCAGGGCCTCTACAACAAGTAAGCGTGAGGTTGTATACTCCCCGTGCTACACTCACCCTTGACAATGATTTCAGATTCGGCAGAGTACGTCAATCATACCCCTTGACTTCATGGCTCAGAATTGACGTCGCACCTCTTAGGGTATCCCGGATGTCTCCGCCCAAGGGGACTACTTCCGCGTATGGTACAGGGGAAATCCAGTACACGTAGGAGGCACTTCGGCCTCGTCGCCCACTGTCGCTGGCCTCGTATCTCTGCTCAACGACGCTCGCCTCAGCAAAGGACTGCCGCCGCTCGGCTTCCTGAACCCTCTCCTGTATACCAAGGGCGTCGCAGGCCTTACGGATGTTACGGAAGGTAACAACCCTGGCTGTGGAACGCAAGGTTTCAATGTAAGCTTTTTCTATGAGCTGCCGTGCTCTTGCGGATACTTACGACGACTTGTTCCAGGCCACAACCGGTTGGGATCCCCGTAAGCTCCGTTTCTTGAGTTTGTACGGTACTCGTGTTGATCTTGGTTCCTAACTATAACTAGTCACCGGTCTCGGAACGCCCAACTTCGGCAAGCTGAAGGAGATAGTCCTGGCTTGATATGGTGTGGTTTAATAAAAGTGGGAGGGCCATTGTTATAATTACGATGTCCCCCATGCCGGCGACATTAACCAACGTCGTGAAGCAATAGTATGCATTTGTTTGACGGCGTCTTCGCTCATTTTTGTCCCCACCACGGTTAATGGCAATACATGGAGTTGCCGCCTCCCCACAGCGCCTCCCTGTATCGTGGCCACAACCTTAACGCGCAAGGTCTGAGGGAACAGCGAACATATGGCTTTGACATGTCGTTTTGACTCGTTTGAGTGGTACCTTAGAAGTTACAGCCGCTTGCAGATCGATAGACCATCAATTCAGAAAACCACGTATAGTCGGAGTGGGTCGGAGTGGGTGCCAGGGACGTCGGAAGAAGGTAGAGAAGTCCAGATGGTCTGATTTCTGTCTCTCGGGGACTTGAAATTGCTTGTCCGACGTGGTCCGACTGTAAATGATTTTCAAAAAGTGGGCCCATCGATCTGCAAATGGCTGTAGACATCATTCTGAATTTAAACAATGTAATGCATCTTTTTACATAGGATCAAGTAATGCAACTAAACCTGCCACTGGTGACACCCGGCCAAACACCTGCAACGGCAATTGTGGCCACCTGACCAGGTGTTCGACGCGTCTCAAGCAGACGCGCTTGAGGCTCCTACGTTTGTGGACTTGCTCTAGGTTACTCAGGCTGTCGATATACTTGGAGCTGACTGGTTAGTGAACTTAAACTATGGCATTCGCATCCAGGTAGGCACTGCACGCTTACGAAAAGACTCAAATTATACTCAACCTTATACAAGTTCTTCAGCATTTGGCATGAAGCCGGCGGCTACCACGTCTGCACCATCCCTCTTCGGAGGCCCTAAACCTACAGGCTCACTATTTGGCAACACCCAGCCAGCCCAGTCTCAGCCTGCGAGCAGTCTCTTCGGACAATCCACATCGCAGCCATCTGGCAGCCTGTTCGGTTCGAACGCCCAGTCGCAACCTGCCACCAACAGTCTCTTCGGCGGACAGAATCAACCTCAACAGCAGCAGCAACAACAACCAGCAACAGGGGGTGGTCTATTCGGCAATACTGCACCGTCGCAACAATCTTCCACGGGTGGCGGTCTATTCGGAAATACAACACAATCCCAGCAACCATCGACAGGTAGCGGTCTATTTGGTAACACCACGCAAACTCAACAGCCTTCCTCGAGTCTGTTTGGAAGCACGACGCAACAGCCTTCCACTGGGCTCTTTGGCCCTACCACGACACAACAACAATCTGGCTCAGGTGGTCTCTTTGGATCTTCCCTCTTCGGAAATACGAACACATCGCAGCAACAGCAAAACCAGGGTGGCAGTAGCTTGTTCGGGTCGACGAATCAGCAGCAGCAGGGTGGGGGTCTGTTTGGGGGAAGTACGACGGGGACAAATCCGCTTCAAGCTCAGTCTACGCTGCCTGCAGGTGGTTTTGGGACGGGGACGGGGTCATCGTTGTTTGGCAATCAGCAGAGAACACAACCGTACGGGTTGAGACCGAGTGAGCATTCTCACGGATTTAACTTCGTTTTCTCTAGCGTACAGCAAGCCGGCGCACCGCCGTTCACCAAGAACACGAGGTTCAATGACCTGCCTGACCAGCTCAAGAAGACCTTCGAGGATATCGAGTGAGCATGTAGTGGCCTATCTCGCGAAGTATTGAAGTGCTGAGAGGCGCGATGTAGGAGTCACATACAGGGGCGCATACAAATCGGAAAGGGTCTGAAGCAACGGGACCTAGGAGAGGACGCCGTCAAAGGCCAGGAGCAGCTCCGTAAAGCCCAGAAGGTCCGTAGACTCTATTTTTATACATTCGCCCTTCGCATTGAATCGGCAACAGGACCTTGTTGGTGTCCTGTCGACGACACACACAGACGCGCTGCAGACACGGGACCTGAAAGCAAAAGTCGACCAGGCTGTCCAAGATATGATTATCACTACTCGGATCTTGGAAGGATTCCGTAACCCACAGCAGCATGGCGCCTATCTAAGAGACCACGCAGGATTCCCCCTGGAGTAAGACTCATTATCTCCAAGCGCAAAGGGGATTTGGTTACTGAGCATCTGCCATAAAACGTAGGTTCTTCCAGCGCATTACGGAGCAAATGAAAGACCGGCTTCAATGGTACAAGTCTACAATCGAAGTAGGGTTTAATGTATTCATTCGACATCATTATACTAAGCCCGTCTGTGAATAGCAAATTGAGCGCAAACTAGCCTCCGCTTCCAGTCAGGCGCAGTATACGCCGCAAGGTACGCTGCTGTCATTCTCCTTCTGCCCTTTCACATGCTTATCAGATGTGTCGATAAAGCTATATCAGCTACTCTTGAGACGCAGCACGCCACATTCATGGCCCTGGCAAGCAAGACGGCCGATCTGCACGCGGAGCTGCAGAAGATAAAGGCGATCTATACGCAACTATGGCGGGCCAAGACCGGGAGTATGAGGGATCCATTCGATGGGTCGGGTCCGGGGCTGGAGATGTAGAGGAATGCACTACCCTGTTCGGATTGATATAGGTTTTGTATCTGCTATTTGTGTTATCTTGTCTTTGCGTTGACACTTTGATGTACGCATCATGATCAGGCGCCACGCAGGATGCTCTAACTGAATGTATCATTAACTCCCACAGATGGGCCTGGCGTTGTTCGCATACATAACTATGGATGTCAGATTATTCGGTAGCATTCAGCTGCACCAACTCCCCATGAACGCGACCAACTTCGGCATATATTATGACGATGCCGATTATACGGCTCCTGCTCTGAATCACGGTGACGAGGCCGAACATCGATTTTTCTTAGAGCATAAGGGCCAGACTTGGTTACAGCTGAATGTGATCAACTCTCATCCCGTTTCAACGGGAGGCTATCCTCGGTTCTTCGATGAGGACATTATCACTGGATCAGTGAACCTCGAACTTGAGAAGGCAGAGCAAATCAAGAGTGTATCTCTGACGGTAAAAGGTTTTACATCAATCGTCATTGAAGTACTCAATACGACATCTAGGTTCTCGGAGTCGCCGCTGTGGAGGGTCTTGCTAGGTTGCGGTTCCTGGAGCTGACAGAGGCTCTGTGGACCCGCCGACAGCAGGAAGATACCCCAGGCTCCTTGGTCGGACATCACTCCTGGCCATTCTCCGTCAAGCTTCCTCGCGAAGTTCCCCTCCGCTTGAAAGACAAGGCCGATAGCACAATATATCGCCTGCCTCCCAGTTTCTCGGAGAAGGGATGGAATGCGATGTTGACCATCGAGTACAGGATCTTGGTGCATGTTAAGATGGGGATGTTCAGTCCTGATTACACGTGAGGTGTTAGTCTTTTCTGTGTTCGTACGGTTTAGTTAACTCGATATGCTACTAGTCTAGCAGCAAATCTCTTTGTCCTACCTCGAACTGTAGCTGACCCTCGGCAGAAGGTTTCTGAATCTGGGCCACCCGGTCCAGATATTGACCCTGAGGGATGGGTTGAACTCCCTGCAATAAAGGTGAAGGGTAGGGGCATGACGCCTGGTGTCCAGGACCCAGACATCACTTGTACTGTGCGTATATCTACATTCTCGATTGAAGATCGCCTTACGAGCGTGGTCGCAGCTGGCAATAGCGAAGCCGGTAAGAACCTTGCTCAGACGTGATGTCGCATTGAGCAATCATAAACGAGTCGGCACTTTCTCTCCAGCTCACCTTCTCTTTGGGATCGCCCATCCCAATCCTCCTCACTCTCTGCGGTCGGGAAGAGGGAGTACTGGACTCGCAACCGGCTATCAACGTCGTGCTTCAAAGGTCCCTTGCCGTGGGAGCGGGGAATGTGGACTTGTCCTCCGTCAAAGAGGGCGACACTTTCCGAGACTTCTGTGCGACCGCGTCTTTCTCGCCCCTCAATCTCGGTGTTGATGGAATGAGGAGATTGCGGGGCACGCTTTTGGTCCCGCAGAGCCTGAGACCAAGCTTCTCTTTTCCTCTGGCCACACTCAAGGTTCCTGCGTTCGCTTTCTTCGTGTCTTGTTGTTGCACTAATCGATATCTATCATCGATCAGTATTCCATAGCTTTACTACCTTTCGGGAACTCCGGCGTCGGTGTCTTGGGGCACAATGAGACTCCTCTGGCGAAGGCAGAAGTGACTATAGTTGCGGGTAGCGCTGACGGCGTCCTCCCACCAGAATACCCTCTTCCTCCTCCACCTTATGAGACTACTGAACAAAGGAAGTGAAATACATACCGCTGATGGACACGATCAAGGACTGTTGCACGGGTGAACATAAATGTCTTATACATCCCGGGGTAAACACTACTGGAAAGGAGGCCTTCTCACTGGCAACTGCTGAGCTTCTGCTCTGCGTGTTTTTTCTTACAAGAAGCTTCCTTACAGACATAATAGGCATACACTGCCTCAGATGCATATACTGCGACTCACCGCCCGCCGAAGCTTATGGCCTCTTGACGCCTCTGCCTCACACGCACCATCATTTCACGTTCGACCTCTGCTGACCAGCCTTGATGCTCCACAGATGCACTCACCGTCTGTCCCAGAAGCTCTGGTGCCGCTAACCGCCCTTGACTCTTTTAGTGCTGCAGCAGATGTCACGGTTCATAAATCAGTCTCATTATCGTCGAATGCTGACAAGAGAAAAGTCTCGAACTGTTCATCACTGCTCCACGGAGTACCATGACCACTCAAAAGATCACTGTCACTCTCCGGGATGGACCAAGTGAAAGACTCAGCTCGCCGACGAGCGATAAAGACAAAACACCCATCCTCCCCTATTGAAGAGCCCAAACGACGCCAGGTGTCACCGCTAGCATCTGTGTCACCTCTAGGCCGAACTATAACGGGGTGGAAGGTGAACCACAAGCCAAATGCGCTCCAGAAAGGTGTCTCTTTCGGGAGGCTCCGTATTTTGTAAGAGATCACGACTTCCAGGTCCCAAGGCCTCCCTTCAGGCACAAATGGAGGGGATGAGAGTTGTATAAGACTTCGCAGCAGAGGTGCCAACAGTTCAGGAAAGTAGACCTGAATAGAAGTCAGGTATTTCGACAGGTCTTTGATCCTGAATAATCATACCAAGTCGCTGCAGATAATCCGGGTCAGATAGCGAGAAGAGTCGGCTTTACTGTGAGAAGTTAATCCCAGGTCTGCCGCGATGCTCAAGGCATACTCTGGGTCGCCCCATGGCAAGGGCCTGACAATGAGGCCACCAGACCAATCGGAGCATATGGTAGTTTCCTGCAGGCCGTGTCTCTCCAGGGTTTCCCGTAGAAGTGAGCAGACGTCTGGCAAATCAGTGAGAATGACAAGATCGTCGGGAGCCAGGATCTGAGTAAGCTTGATGCCCACAACGCCAGTGCCCGATCCTAGTTCCAGATACGTATTCCGTTTCGTGGTCGAGGAAAGGAAAGGAGGGTCTAATTCCCACTTGGGCGAGCCTTGCATGTACGACAGCAAGATGTACGCGGCCTCCCTGACATATTAGAACCGCCGTCACGCATGCACCGGTTCTAAATACTTACCACACGCGTCCTGCGATGCCATACTTTTCGATCGCGTCTTTCTGCGAGTACGCGTCTAGAACGGAGTCCAGCCCTGGATCAACCTCGTCCGGCCTTTGCGATGGGCTGATATTGAGGTTTTCAGGAAAATTGGAATTTCGGCCCTCCTGCATCGTGACAGTGGCTCTTCCCTCCTTGAAACCAGGCTGAACGAAAGGCGACTGAGACGGACGTTCAAGTACAGCTGAACTCGCGAACAGAGACGACGGCCGCTCCATGTGATACTTTGAGACACCGGGGTGCCTCCCGCTCGTCCGAGTCCGGCTATGATGCGGCTATTCACCGCTCCCCATCCTTACGGGGTACTTCAGCCTCGGTACATACTTTACTGACTGCCAGCTACATGGACGTCGACTAAACCGATACTCTACTATGCCAGCACAGTCTAAGCCTGTACAACAGCTGACCCCGTTTGGGTACGCTCTCGCGGGGGCGCTGGGAGGGTGTTTCAGTACTGCGTGAGTGGGCTCCTGCTTCTGGCGTTCAGGATGGTCATACTGACATGTGGATAGGGTTGTGTATCCGCTAGATGTGTAGGTAGAATGGTACCCTGAGTGTAAGCATTGAAGTACTGACGAGTCTCAGGGCAAAGACGCGCATACAGGCTACGAACGCGGACGCGAAGGGCAAGGGCAAGCGCGATGACTTGTCCATGTACTCCGTGCTCCTCCGCGTCCTGAAGGAGGAGGGCATATGGGGCTGGTATAGGGGCTTCGCGGCGACCATGATTAACACATTCTCTATGCGTAAGCCCACTATCAGGTCAACGTTAATGGATCGCGTTTAACTTGCACGACCGCGAACCGCCAGAATACGCCTATTTCTTCTTCTACTCGCTTGTACGGAGCTCATACATCAAGCGACTAACAGCCAAACTCCCCGCGGGATCGAAAGCCCCCCAACTTTCAACAGCCGCAGAGCTTATCCTCGGAGCGGTCGCGGGCGCGCTCGCCCAAATATTCACGATCCCCGTCTCAGTTATTGCGACTCGACAGCAGATCGGACGGTCTTTCCAGTTCAGCTCGAAAGCACCGTCCAACACCCCATCAGAGCCCCTGACCGTTTTGCCTTCGGAACAGAAGGCGCCGTCAGACGATGACTACGACGACTCGTTCCTCGGTGTTGCAAAGGAGATCGTCAAGGAGGAGGGGGTTACGGGGTTGTGGTTGGGCTTGAGGCCCGGCCTGGTGCTTACCGTGAACCCGGCTATCACATACGGGATGTTCGAGCGGATCAAAAGCGCCGTGCTGCTCGCCAGAGAGAAGGCGGGCGCCGAGGCGAAGATGACACCAGGTCTCAGCTTTGTTGTCGGTGCTCTGAGCAAGACGCTGGCGACAGTTGTGAGTACATCGAACGGCCCTCTTCCTCGGGTAGAATGCTTATTGTCGGTGGAAGGTCACATATCCTTACATTATGGCGAAAGTCCGTATTCAGGCCCGGACAGCAGACGAGGAGACCGCTGTCGAGGAGCATCACCTCCCCCCGCCACACAACAAGCCCCACCACTTGAAAGACCACCACCCGGGCGCCTTGGATGTTCTCATGCGTGTATACCGGAAGCAAGGTCTCGTCGGCTGGTATCAGGTCAGTCTGTGATGCCTGCGCTCATGTACGGCGGCCGCTGATGTTGGCTTCCGCTGGCAGGGGATGAGCGCGCAGATTATCAAGGCTGTGCTGTCGCAGGCTTTGTTGTTCATGTCGAAAGACCAGTTCGAGCAGTGGGCTCTGGCGATCATGATTCTGTTTTACAGGCTTCGGAGGTCATCATAGTCTCGGAAGGTTGTGTATTGTATATATGTAAGTGAACTCTGCGGCAGGACATTGCTTTCTGTTAGCTGATGCAAGAGCTATCTCAATAGATCTTGCTAGTCCTTGTGGATATGGACAGCTAATGGATGCTATGACCCTGGACGCTCCGGAGATGACGCTGAATAAGCGCAAATGCCGATCTGCTCTGAGTACGTTGGCCATGAAGAGGTCAAGAGCTTGCAGTAATTCGTACTTGGATATCTGGAGGTGACCGTGACTTACCATTTTGCATATGGATTTTGGGGTCGAGCAGTTATTACGGCTTCCACTGGACGAGCCCTTTTCCACCCAACTGTTCCAAGCTTGACGTCAGTCACCCCCTTACCGGTTTATGTACGTAGCTCGTTACGTCTGCAACGGACTACATACATACACCAAACGTGCATCGCCCGATAACAAACACTAATCACCGAGGAAGATCAGAGGCAGGCAGGTAGTCCAAACACAAGCTACACGCTTTCCTGGGCAGATTGAGGTGACGCCAATAAAAGCAGCCTTGAGCCCGCGATGAAGATAAACTCACCACGAATCCTGTTCTATGACATAACTTTCGTTATACCCGCTTGAAGGCTGGTTATGCGATTACCTGAGTGATAGCAACGTTACGCACCGAGAACTAACGGTCTGCAACTGGACCCGACGATACATTATTGGGCTGCCTTTCGAGCGACTGACCCTGTCTGAGCACCGTCGAAAGCGGAATATAATCGCGATGTCCACCGTTGAGTAAGTTTGAGCGGAAAAAATCAGCCAGCAAGCCGAAGCAGCCATCAATTGATAAATCTGGCGACCGAACCGACCTGCTATAACAGTGACGTTGAGTGAGCCACATCCCCGACCGCTCATAAATATCTTTCTACGCTCTTCCTTTCCTTCCATTGTCTGCTCAGACGCCCGACATAGACGATACACGACATAGACAGGCTGCAGTAAGTTCTCTGCCACGACTGTCACGGCTGGCAGCTCACTGGCATCGGTGTTGTGCTTGACTAGGTCCGATTGCATTCATCTATAAATTGACTGTCTAGACGGCGACCTGTCTTGCCCGACTCCTATATTCTACCAGCACTCGATACTTAGCTGAAAACGCTCTTTAATTTTCTTCTACCGCGGCCAGGACTATAATGAGTCATCGCTCGGTGACGGCCCACCCGAACGGCCTGGACGGGCTCGACGACCATGTCATCAAACCCACCAACATCGATTCTGCGACGTACTACGGAGACAATGAATTTCACACTGGTACCCGTGCTCGGACGTTCAGTCATGTACGTGTCCGCTCTTGCCTGCCATTCTCATTCCTTTGACCCACATTTCGCAGTCTCAAGTGGATGCACACCAGCCCAAGCGTCCCCCTGCGTTCCAGGAAGACTGGCATATGCGCCGGCGGAGGATGTCGCACGATGAGAAGCCGACAGCACCCCGCAAGTTCTTGATCGACGTTGAGGAGACTATCCGGGTCATTCTGGAGCAGGAAGACACAGACGGTGACTTCCAAATCAGCATCACCGATGCTGGACCCAAGCTGATGGCTCTGGGGACTGCGACGAGTAATGGGTACAAGAGCTTTGATATCCGAGTACGTATGACAATAATGGAGACTCTAATAGTACTGGGACTGATGACGGCTGCACAGGGCACGTACATGCTCTCCAACTTGCTGCAGGAGCTCGCACTGGCACGGGACCACAACCGGAAGCGCATCGTGCTCGACGAAGCCCGCCTAACCGAGAATCCTGTCGATCGTCTCTCGCGCATGATCAAGAACTCCTTCTGGCATTCCCTGACCCGGCGCATCGACGGCGACGGTCTCGAAATCATCTGCGCGGACCCCAAGAACCGGACGGGGCGCATACAGCCACGTATCTACGTCCCGCACGGTGAGCCGGCCATGGCGGAGTATTACAGGCAGGTGGCCAGGGACAAGCCCCATTTGAACCTGGACGTGCAGGTGCTCCCGCCGAAGCCGGATGATCCTGTGTTTGTGAAGAGTTTGAACCCGAAACCGGGTATTCTGGCCTTGGCGATGAACGAGGTGGATGATGGGAAGGGTGGGAAGACGTTGAAGGGGATTCCGTTCGTTGTGCCTGGAGCTAGGTTCAATGAGGTGAGTGGCTCTCTCGTGATCTGGCGCACTGAAGGTGTTCACGAGTACGCAGTTATATAATTGGGATTCTTACTTCATCAGCTTGGGCTTGCTGGTGGACGGCTATGTCAACATGGCCAAGGGCATGGTCGATCACTTCATCTTTGAGATCAGGCACTACAACAAGATCCTGAATGGTAGCCGCTCCTACTACCTGTGCCGGACCCAGCCTCCTTTCCTTACCGACATGGCCCTCCAGATCTACAACCAGCTCGACCGCTCAGATATGGAATCCAACCGCCAGTGGCTTAAGCGCGCGATCCGTGCCGCTATCAAGGAGTACCACACCATCTGGGTCGCCGAGCCCCGCATGGACCCTAAGACGGGGCTGAGTCGCTATCGGCCTGACGGGCTGGGCATCCCGCCCGAAACCGAGGCCACGCACTTCACGCACATCCTCGAGCCGTACGCACGCAAGCACGGGCTGTCCGTGCTCGAGTTCAGCGAGAAGTACAATGACGGCGTGCTGAAGGAACCGGAGCTGGACGAGTACTTCCTGCACGACCGCGCCGTGCGCGAGTCCGGGCACGACACGACGTACCGCTTCGAGAAGCGCTGCGCGAACCTCGGCACCATCGACCTCCAGACACTGCTGTACAAGTACGAGGTGGACATTGGCACGGCGATCCGGGAGGTGTTCGACGACGAGCTGGACATGGAGGAGGACTTTGATCTGGCGCCGTGGCCGGTCACGCCGGAGAATTATCGGAACCCGCATCGGGAAAGATCGACGAGTCGCCCGCAGCGGAGCCAGGAGTGGTTCGAGAGGGCGGAGTGGAGGCGGGGGATCATTGATAAGTATTTGTGGAACGAGAGTAAGGGCATGTACTTCGATTACGATACGGTCCAGGAGAAGCAGAGCTTGTATGAGAGCGTTACAGCGCTCTGGGCGTTGTGGGCAGGCTGTGCTAGTGAGGAGCAGGCCTGGAAGCTTGTGTAAGTGTTTCCCTGTGTTCTTCAACGCATATGCAGCGCGATACTGATGTGGATGCAGAACGGAATCATTAAAGAAGTTTGAGGTCCTCGGTGGCCTCGTTTCCGGTACTGAAGAGTCTCGGGGAAAGATCTCTTTGGATCGCCCTAACCGACAATGGGATTACCCGTAAGCTTGATCCACCGCATTTAATATTCATTGATAGCTGACTTGCGTCGTTCCAGTTATGCGTGGCCCCCGCATCAAATCATGGCCTGGGTTGGTCTGGAGCGATATGGATACCTGGATGAGGCACAACGTCTTGCATACAGATTCCTCTACATGTAAGTGGTTACTGTAGGTGTTATCTACAACAAAGTCTGAGCTTACGGTTATAGGATGACCACCGCTTTCGTCGACTTCAACGGAGTTGTACCAGAGAAGGTGAGTTGAATTGACTTACCATTGCCTGCGATCGCTAATGTCTTGGGTGTAGTTTGATGCTGTCAAGCTCTCCCACCTGGTGGATGCGGAATACGGAAACCAGGGCATCGACTTCAAGATGGTTCCACGAGAAGGGTTCGGCTGGATGAATGGTACGCGCATTGAATGTAACTCTCACTTACGATTCACGGTGCTCATGTTTTCTTGTAGCTGCGTACCAAGTTGGTCTGTCATTCCTGACGACACACATGAGGCGCGCGGTTGCGGCCTGCACAAGCCCTGAAATATTCTTCAGAGGTGCCGGCGGCGCAGTTGGACCAGATTCCGCCGTAGGCATGCAGTCCAACGCTCAGCAAGATCCACTTGGCCTCGCGATGGAGAGCCTTAATTTATCCTCCCCAAACCCTTAAAGCACGGCTTTGAGACGACTATCGCCATCTTGGATCCTACTCTAATCAAGTGCCGCTAATTTCCTGGTGACATATAGTGCGTTCCAAGGCTCGATTGAAGCTTGTGTATAGATTCCTTTCCTGCAATTCCTGATTCTTAGATGTATTAAACTTCCATGACGCGTATGATCCAGCATTGTTCTTTTAGTTAGCCCAGTCCTGCTCCTCAATGTACATCCATTATCATCGTGGTCTCCCTCTCAAGTCTAAGCATCTTTAATACATTCCGTACCCGCCAGTCTATTCCAATGCTTGTTCGTCCAGCATACAGTGCAGCATTCCATCGCAACTGTTATATGACGTCCGTCCTAAATGCGTCCCTCCTGGCCTCCGCAATGACGAATTCTTCGCATTCCTTGCGGCTCTTCTTCACGTTTACCAGTGCCAAGAAAATAGTACTCAGCGTACCGCTGCGAACACTAAGTCAGCGGTAGAGAAGGCAGTAATGGGACACCTACAGGCCAAACAGGAAAGCAAAGGGCATGTTGTCGTTGTCATTAGAAGCAGTGATGATAGCCGACGATACGAAAGGCCCAATGAACGCTGATGTCTTGCCCACCTAGCAAGCGTTGTGAAGAAGAGTTGGGAAGCCTGATCATGAAACATACCACGGAAAACAAGGAGAAGAATAGGAACATTTGCGGAAGGGGGGATACTTCGCTGATCATGGTCTGGCTGTACGCATACCATGGACAAACCATGAGACCGTAGAAGACCTGGTAGGCCCTGATGGCGAGGATAGAGGTCATATATCCGCAGCTGTAACAATGGTACGCACCATATCTCCCAAACATGCTTGAAACCAAATTTATCGGTATGGACACCAATGAGGCCCCATATCGTCAAAATCTACAGGAGGGTAAGCCTAGTAGGGTCTACGACTACTTTCTAGACTCACGATTATCCAGAAGACGTTGAATGAAAGCATCTGCGCGACGTTAGCCACGGGATGGCAAGTTGTAGTGGAGACGCACTGCTTTTGTCGATATTTCGAATTGTTTCTGCACCAGCCAGAAGAAACTACGAAATGAAATATGAAGTACTCAGTTTCTGACGTACTTTAAAGCGGGGAAACATAACTGACTATATCCCTAAACCCTGGGCTACCAGACCCACGATGAGCAAGTAAGTCAGCTGGAGCGTGGAGTATGACACGACGCTGTGCTCCCGTCAGACATTTGATCTAGATTCCTTCAGGACGCACGGACCTGTTCTGCAAGGTGCCGATAACAGTCCTAGAGATATATTGTAGATCATATGAGGAATGTCATTCGTGACGACTCACACTGTAGTATTCAGAACATCTCCCCTTATGTGGTGGGTTAGTATGGGGATGCTGGAGGACACCGATTTCACAAACATGAGGAAGTAAAATATCAAATACAGGAACGTCTGTTTGAGCCGCATGCACTCCCGCAAAGCGATCCAGGTTTGCTTGAATCCTACAGTGAGGAGAGACGTTCCCGGAGGGAGTGCTAGTCCCGGCCGTCTCTGTTCGGACAGGAACCAGGGGATTGCGCAGAGGACTACGGTAAGCTGATTATTACAGGTTCCTTGTTCAAGAGAACGGATTACCTACGCCAGACTCCGCCAGAGAAGGCAATCAGGACACTGAATGCTCTCGTATTATTTTCCGTGCTTTCGTCGGATTCGAGTCCCTTTAATATCCCAACCATGATAGCGAGGATGAGGACTTCTCCGGCCGAGCAGACAGCGAAAGCCACGTTTGAAACGCGATTGCGAGCGATTGACTCAAAATTAGCATGTTCGTCCTCCCTGCAATACAACTGACGACCGGTTATAACTCAGGGGAATATGAAACTTACGACTTCTTATCGTCTACAACTTGAAGGGCTGACTCTTTGACTTCGGGCAGATTACGGGCCAGCCCAGGGAAGGCGGCAGTCCAAAACGTGAGAGTCATCTGACAATCTCAGCTCACCCGTGATTCACTATGTCGATAATGCTTCATACCTGGTATGTTATCACTGCAACACCCGGCTCACGCAGTTATTCCGTAGTTTCTCAGTTAAATAACCAGCCACTTACAGCCAAGAACATAAAGAGCCGTGCCTGCTCTCCATTTTGACGGGTCTTCGACTCCCAGCCAAGCGAAAGACACTGCGACAGCCACTATCGTCCAGAATATAAGGATATTAGGTCTAGATCGGCATTGGTATAAATCTTTGAGCAGCAAATAAATAGACATGGTGAGCAGACGTCCCTCCAGCGGCCGTAGTCAGCCCAGGCGCCTATGGAAATGATCAAAACTGCTTGGATTGCGAAGCTTATACCGTTCGTTAATAGGACGATTGAGTTGACTGAGAAGGGTTTGGCCTGTTAATCGCTGCAACGGCAAAGGAGGAACCAGTCCTAACTATCTCGAGTCTTTCCAAGGAAGGGGAGCACGCATCCCGAGTCAGCCCCGCACGCAGACGTGAAGGGCGCTTCGTCTGGGTCGTACCCAGCAAGGTACAGTAAGTTTTGGAACTGGGAGGGGCCGAAATTGAAACCGGCAAGTCCATTATTGCCCTACGAGGATCAGAGTGAAGCGCAGAACGTTTTTCATTTGTCCGAGACATACGATATAGTATACATAGAAAGCCCAGAGTTCCGGGCGTCGAGTTATCCAGTGTTTAGAGCGGTCATCAAGAGACGAATGAGTGCTCGCGCTGTCGATAACCTCCGACGATTTCGCGCCCGCCTTCTCGTCCGTCTTCTCAAGTATTTGCTCAGCCATGAAGATGGATACAAAGAGGAAGAGAAACCGAACAAACCGCAGACAAATTTAGAATTACTACAGCGTCAAGCAAGCGTTCCGATAACGGTTTTGCCACTCCATCTCCACGTCGTTAAACGCGACACGGATCGGGATCAGACTGGTAGGCAACATCCAGTCAGATAATATGGATAAGCACAATAAATACCTAAATAAGTACTCGCTTACACATAAATATGTATAGTAAAATATTGTACCCATGACGAACAGGCGTACCCGGCAACACCCGGCTGGCATACCCATTGCACTCGACGTCGCAGACGACATTCACAGTGAACACGGATGTACCGTGCCTGGCCTGTTACGAGGCAGCTCGTAACGCGCAATGTCGGCGGTTGCGTTAAAGTCGTCCGACGAGTGAGTGTGTTCATACGGCTTTGCACAGCTTGGATTTATATTCTTCGTACACAGCGACTTGCGACCGAGGCAGAGGCCGCACCACAACCCCCCCTGCCAAAGAAAAAGAAGAGCGTGATTCGGAGGTTGCTCTTCTGGTCGGGGACGGCAACCGCGACATTTTACGTTGGAAGCGTCTTCGTCGCGTTCAAGGACGAGCGGTACTATGACTTCTTCTCGGACCACGTCCCTTTCGGTGCTTCGTTCATTCAGTATGCGGAAGACCATGACTGGGACACTCTAACGGTTCAAAACCTTGTGGACTCGGGGAAGAGGACCGTTGACAGCGTTCAGCGGAGAGTTACGGGGGCAGCGAAGGAGGCTGAACAGCGCGTGGAGAAAGCCAAGGACGCGGTGTCTGCTGACAAGGCCAAGGCTCTAATCCAATCAACTGCGACTGCTGGTTCCGAGCGTATCAAGGCTGTTACGGATTCTCTCAGAACGAACGTACGGAAGAGTGAAGAGAAGGTTGTCGAGGGCGGTCGCAGCGCCGCTGCTGCTGCCAAGCACCAAGCACTCCAGTTCTCTTCTGAGGTCGAGGACCTTGTCCGGAAGGCGGAAGCAGCACTTGCAGGCAAGCCGGTCGAGCCCTTGCCGCAGAGCACCATGTCACCCGGTCAGCATGGCATTGCCCCGCAGGAGAGTGCTTCGTCCGAAGCTGAGACTGACAAGAAAATCTACGAGGCTCCGCTCCCTGTGGGCTTTGAGCCTCCACCAGGTTTCTCAAGACCAGCCCCGCCCAAGAGGGCCGAACCCACGCGCCAGCCCGAGGCACCCCCCGCGCCCCCTCCCCTCCCCCTCGTTGCCCCCGCGGTTGCTGAGCTACAAGCCTCGGAGCCGATCATCACCCACCTCGCCTCTACCATCGACAATCTCGCCTCTTACCTGAATGCCAATCCCACTGCCGCTAACGAAGCGCGGGATGTTCTTGACAATGCCAAAATGGACCTGACGCAGCTCGTCAGTCATATGGAGAAAATCAAAGAACAGGAGCGTTCACAACTGGAGGCGAAGCTGGATGAACAAACTCGGGAGTATTCTCTGAAGCTTCTGGAGATGGAGATGGAGGCGCAGGATAAGCTTGACAACCAGGAGCAGGGCTTCAAGCAATGGTTCGAGCAGGAGCGGCAGAAATTCGTCAAGGCGTACCGGGAGAAGCTTGAGAAGGAGCTGCAAACCCAGAGCGAGCTGATCAATGAACGGTGAGTACCTGTTTCAGTCTTCGATTTATTGACGTTTTCATGGGCTTTCATAATTAGTCTCAAGGAGGAAGTCATCGCTCAGGGTATCGAACTTCAGCGTCGCTGGATTCGTGAAATCAAGGTTCGCGTCGAACAGGAACGCGGGGGACGACTCGCCAAGCTTGATACCCTTGCAGCCAACCTTAAGCAGCTAGAACGGGTTGCTCTCGACAACACCGCGTACCTTGACGAGAACTTGCGCGTGCATGCTTTGTGGTCCGCTCTCCGTGCGGTCAACCATGTCTTGGAATCACCCGTCAGGAAACCATTCAGGGAGGAGCTGCGGGTCCTTAGACATGTTGCAGCTGCGAAGGAAGACGACGTGATTGCCACTGCCCTAGACACTATCGAACGGACAGATGTTCCTGACATTGGTGTTGAGCCGCTCCCGGACCTGGTGACATGGTTCACGACATCCGTCGCTCCCCGTGTTACTTCGGTAGCGCTCGTACCAGATGAGGGCACACCAGGGTTGCTCCCCCACCTGGCATCGCATTTTTTGTCCACGTTCACATTCCGGAGACAAGGCTTTGCGCAGGGCAACGATGTCCTCAGTACCCTGGCTAGAGCGGAATACTACTTGAACGAGAAGGACCTGGATAGCGCGGCAAGGGAACTTAACCAGCTCAAGGGGACACCGAAAATGTTGGTGCAGGACTGGCTCGAGGCGGCTCGACGAAGACTAGAGGTGCAACAGGCTTTGGAGGTACGTCTGCGTTTGTTTGCTTCTGCTTGCCAAACACTTAAATGCATTGCAAATCGCATCAGGTTGCGCAGGCGGAGGCGACGCTGGCTTCGCTGTTCGTTGTCTAATTGTTCCATCATAAATAGACCGACAATGGACGTTAATGCCAAATGATGCCAAAAAACCTATAAATACAGCGAACAGGTGAAAGCAGGAAAATGGGGTAGAATATCATCCACAGCCGGCAGCGGCGTCGCCCTAGCTAGCGGGATATGGGCGTCCCGCTTGTTGGTGTACCGTTCACAGCTGCCGCTGCTAGAGCACATTCACACACTACTTGCGCTCTTCTCACCACTGTCTGCACGTTTTCTGTTTGCTTGCCACCAGGTGTCATCGGACCGCGATTCACTTTGACCAAGCCAGGGAAGATGGTCGCACCGACACGGTCCGGCTGCCCGCTTTCGCTCTTCAAGCATCTCTTAATGAGTTCAATTTGTCGAGGGTAGAGCGGGCTGCCAATCTCAGGGACGAAGGAGCGGTAGAATGCGTCCACCGTCCCTCCGGCGCTCGAGTTTGAGCCGTGCAGCATCCTGGAGAATTGGTAGCCCGCTTCGAGGACGGGTAAGAATGCCGCTGTAAGCGAGGGATTTGTGCACAGCAACTCTGCGAGGGTGGGCATCTGCTCGCTGAAAATGTTGAGAAGCATTTGAGGTGAACAGGCTTCAACCGCTGCAGAGAACGTTTGGCGGCGCCATACGCTGGCAACCGTTGGGTCCTCTGGGCAACACATTAGAGCATAGTACCATGCACAACGTTTGAACTCACTGGCGAAAAGGTGTTCATGGATGCGAGTTAGCTGGATGTTGGCTTCACTTGAATCTGTTACGATGAGGCAATTTATTATGCCTTCTGAGATCGCCTCCGACATGACATGCCGTAATAGGTTTTGCACTTGCATGGGCGTAGCTGAGGCAGTCGCAGGAGGTGCTTCGCCTTGGGACAAGTCGGACAGTATGAGATCGCGGATTTGGTCTATGGGTGCTGGAGGCGCCCGGACGATATCCGCAGCCCAGCGGTTGATGAGTCGCTCCAGTTTCGACGCGGAGTTCTAAGGCAGCACCATGAAGTACTTAGGGTGACGACAGGAACATGCAATAAATATACCTTGATTGAGAAGTCGTCAACAGAGCTTCCTCCTTGTCGCGTCCTAGTAGCAGGATCTTGCCCAAGATTACTGCTCCCTTCTAGAGTAGCAATGCGTGCTCGTAGCAGTGCAACCTGTTTTTCTTGCTCTTCCAGCTGCCGCCTCTGCTCCTCGACCTTCTCGTGAGCTATACGCTGTGTCGCTACTAGTCAGTGTTCCCGGTCGGTGTGTCGATGAAGATCAGCTTACGAAGTTAGTCAAAGCATAGCGGTACTGCTCGCCCGAGACCACGTCGTGTTGCATCTGGTGTTGCGGGTGTCCAAATTCCATGGCTCCCCAAGCCCAAATCGTGCAGAGCTTGAGAAGGTGAGCAACAAGGGTCAGATGAGTTTCGCTAGCACAGGTTCCTATCGAGGGTCATCACCGAGCGAGGCAGTATAGCGCCCAGTTACCGCCGTAAGCAATTTGGCCGTTGGCAGGAACGTGTATTCATATGACGGGACGTCGTGCATGACGGATCATGATCACAGTTGAGATAATGAGGAGAGCTGCAACACGCAGCCCCCACAGGAGAACCGCAAATGCATATGTTGGCAACTTTCTGTCATAGTTAGCAGCGACGCCGACCAGCTCAATTTGCGTCAACGGAGATCGCGTGAGAATACGCTTTTAGCATCTCATCGAACGGAACAGTCCAGAAGAAGAGGAAACGGAGTGGAACACCAAGACCAATAGCAGAGACTGGACAACTAAACTAGGAGCCGTAATACCACTGATAGATGGGCAAATCGAAATCGATAGCAAAAGGACGTCTGAGATATTGGGATAGATGCAGTTTGAGCGAACTTGTGGAGTCAGGAGTCAGCAGAACATCGAAGAAAGATGGAGTAAAAGGCACTACGCTAGCCATTGAGGTTATATTCACATTGCGGCGAGAGTCCTGAGACTGTGAAGATAACGAGAAAAGGATATTTCCAACATAAAGGTGACCAGCGGTCGGGTAAAGTAAGGACAGGTATCGAGCTTCACAAGAGGAGTCAGTAAAAAGAGATGATTGTAGGACCCACTACGCACCGCTAAATTTGTACAATGTTCAGTAGTCTTCTTACATTCTATGTCGAGGGGCGTGTCCTTCAAGGCCACAGAATGTTCTCTTCGTCCGCCCCGTAACTAGTCATCATCGATATCAGGTATTTCCGGTGCATCATGGAGGACGTTCGCCGCAGCCACAGGTTTAGTCTCCAACATGCTAACGATATCCTCGATATCAGTGCCAGTGCCAATAGGCGCTTTCGTATTGGCGGGGACATCTTCGTGGTCAGATGAAACAGGTTCGTCGGGTTCATGGTGCGATATCTCTGCGGCAGGAGCAGCTGGCTCACGTACATCTTCGACCTCGGGCTCGTGTTCGCTAGCGACATGCTCTTCGGGAGCTGGACCCTCGTCCGCAGAAGCCGGTGGTTCTGATTCGTCAACAGTAGCCACTACATCGCCAGCATCAATATCTTCATTGACCCGGGCGATCTGGTTCGGCATCACTTCCTTCGCAAGCTGCTCGGCCTCCTCTTGGGGCTCTGCGACTCCAGGTTCAACCACAGGATCAGCCTCGTGAACCTGTTCAGCAGCGTCTAGTGCGGGCTGTTCAGTCTCGTCGACATGGGTGTCATCCGTAGCATCGTTCGACTCCTCCTGACGTTCAACCCCAGTAGCCTCGACATGTTCGGGAGCTGGAGCTTCGGTTGCAACATCCTCGTCAGGAAGTTGGTCCTGGTGAGACTGCTCCTCATGCTCCTCAGCCGCTTCGTGGTTTATTTCAACGAGTTCTTCAGCTGCGGTAGAACCAGAGAGATCCTGATGATCTTCGACTTGATCCCCATTCTGGGGATTCTCGACCGCAGCTTGCTCTGCAACCACGGCCGCTGTAGCTGTAGCTGCAGTTGCAGCCGCAGTTGCCTCGCCAGCAGCCTTCTCCTTCTTCGCCTTCTCCCTTGCAGGAGCAAGTCCAACCCTCATCTTCGTAGCACCTCTGGGAGCCGGTGCAGCACCTCTTGCAGGAGCCGCTGCCTTCCTAGGCGGGCTCGTGACAGTAGCCGCAGCAGCCCTAGCCTTCGCAACTGAAGACGCAGTAGGTTTGCTCAGCCTATCTGCAGCAGCACTTGCTGACGCAGCCTTCTTGGTAGGCGGAGACTTGGGTATATCCGAAGCGCTCTTTGCTTTGGCCAGAGATGCAGCGGTGGGCGCGTATAACCCGGAGCTGGCTGAGGGCGTCTTCGGCCGGGTGCTCGGAGGCGCGGAAGGAGTCTTCGGACGCGCATTATTTCCTGTGCGGGATGGAGTACGCGGAGGCCTCGCAGTCGCAGAGGAGCCGGTGTGCTGCGGCTGGAGAGGACGATGGGACGATGGAGGGGGAGAGCGTACTGATGTCCGGGGAGGGGCCTTCGTGGCAGTAGCTGCTGGTTTGGCCTCTGGCGCTTTATTAGACTTGACTGGAGTCCTCGAGGTGGATGGCGCAGTGCTCGGTCTACCGCTGGTAGCCGGCTTCTTCTCCGCTGGCTTAGCAGCAGGTGCAGTAGTATTCTGTGGGGGCGACACCGGCAAGGGGACAGATGGCGGAGATCCGTTGAGAATTTCTGGACTCTTGGGGGGCGAACGCACCGCGTTCACTGATGCCGGTGGAGACGTTGACTCCTTAACAGTCGATTTCGGCGGCCATTCCCTCTTCTCCTTAATCTCAGCAATCGCCGAGTCGCCTGTGTTCTGCGACTGAACACTTGAACTCCTGGGTACAGCCGGCGCTACCGACTGGCGCTTTGTCTGCTGCTCAAAGCGCCCTATGAGATTAGCAACGCTCTGGCGCGGTCGCTCGTCCGGCAGCGGCCTGAGGTTGGTTCGTGGTGATGGACAGTAAACACAGGATGTCGAACAAAGGTAGAGAAGAAGAAACGTACATGCCCCAGTATTCCTAGTGTCAGATTCTTTTACTCGACGACTGAAAAGGCCAGAATACGGCTATGGACGACGAAGTGGACGTGTTGTGCTATAACCTGACTACTGGTAACTTGAATGATACAATATATCCGCGGCCGCTTTTGGTAATCACATCGGATACCCTATTATTTTACCGATTATTATTCACGATAAATCCTTAAAGCACGATTAAGTACATCCGAGTCGACGCGTAGAAGATTCTGTTGCACCCATGCGTCAGAAAAAGACATCGTGCAACACTGTGCATGAATCATATCTATGGGCCAGTCGCGGGCGTACATGATACTCATGCAAGGTCTGATTGCATGGCATGCTTCCATGCGTACTAAGTAGTAGTAGATGAAGTGCCACCTTACTCAGGCTTTATCCGTCTTATTCCTGTGCAGTCCTTCTCTATTCAAAAGTTGCCTTCACCTAGACGAGACTCATACCGAAGCTGTAGAGACTGAAGTAGAGACGTCTGGGGCAAATGCAAGGTTGCTAATCTCCGTACGGCTCTGTGGAATCTGCAGTTCCATGGAATCCGGCCCTCCAACGGTCGTACTCCCCACCATTGCCCCTCTTAGATTGAGGTAGAGCCTCGCTGACTGTTAACATCCGCTACATCAGAACACCAGCCGTGAGAAGTCACTGGATCTTACCATGATGGAATATGTGACCGTCATCCATCTAACGGTTCATAGCATGAGATTCAGGTACAGAGCCTCATATGAAGTAACGCACAAATAACCCATCGCGCTGATTGCTCGACTTGGGAATATTGCCGTCAGTGTTATCGTCAGTAATGCCGCGACTATGACGTCGCCCAGTGATCAGCCAGTGACAAACGACAGACAAAGCTAAGGTCAGTCTTACCAAATATTCTGCAGAAGATCCGCGTGAGTACTCTGTTAAGCCGACTTCTCAGTCCGTTACTCACATGAAGAAGTAAATGGTTCCATCTCGTACGAAAAGATACAGGATGGGCGCAAGCTTAGGGATGCTGGAGACGCTCAGGGATTGACCACTCAATCCCCTAGGGTACATGGCGTTGATAAAATTGACGAGCGTAAGCATGAAGTAGATGACTGAGGACGATGTTAATGTTTTACAGTTGTAGCTGTCTAGTGCACAACGCTGATGGCGGAGACTTACAGGTTACGGCCGCGACGAGGCTCCTATGAGGTGACGTTAGGCAATGTTATGACAACTGGATAACCCCCCTGCACATACCAGGAACCGAGTGCTAGCTTGAGCATCTCCGAATCAGACGATTGGTGCGAATATGAGCATCCCGGGAGACCAAGGGTGTTGGGTCCCAGGGGCAGTGGTTTCAGAGTTAGGACCGCAGAAACAATGTTCATCTGTGAGGTCGGTCAAACATCCCCCCGAGTGCTTGGAGACGCAGGGCGTACCGTTGTTTCCGCTGCAAAGTCGGGTGAAAGGCCTGAGTATCGGTTTTGAATTACAGATGGGCGTCGCCTTACCTAGATAAAGCATGATAACTAGAATAATCGCTATAGACGGCAGACATTGATATCAGAAATAAGCTTGGCGCAGGAAAGCTTCATGCGCCACACCTTTCCGATTACCGTGGTATAACGCACATAGGCGTATTACCAGCAATGCCTCTGCAAAAATGCTGGTCAACACAGGCCCGGCGCTGTAGAGAAGTATGAGAAATGCAGGACAGAGTGGTACACGGATGAATCGCACAAGAACCAGTAGAATCGCCAGTGTTTGCATCTACAATGCGAGAACAGGGTCAGCAAGACATTCTCCTACACATGATAACCAACGAAACAGACACCTGTGATTGGTGGCGAGAATGAGATCAGCCACAGCAAAGGAAGTGCGATTCAACTTACTGCTGCTGGTGCGTTCATATTCGTGTTCACTGAGCGTACGTGACAGCGGTTAAGTAAGGTTTATCCACCCAACATCAGTCCGGACACACCTGTTAAATACAGACTGGATGGTAAATAAGAATACCAGTCAGCGACAGACAGCAAGCGCGGCGTCATTCACATACATCATATTAGCCAGCGTGAAATATCGTACTATAAGATACAAAACTTTCGGTATTGTCCATTGAGACCTATGAGAAAGAACATCAATGATGAAGTCAGAAATCGGCGTCAGGAACAGGACCGACCTCCACGTATAATTGATCTACCTTGCAATGAGCGAGAGACATATGACAGAAAATGCTTTCATGCGCACCTCTTGATCCATTGTTATTATAATATCATACACAAGCCATGCCGTGGCAGCAGCTGCGATATACAACCGTCAGGGTGATTATTTTGGAATACATTCAGAGACGTATAATGTACCTGAACATAAATTAACCATGAAGTTGTCCCCTACCAACTGCACATAAGCCGCAACCTGGGACTCTACCGAAGATGTCATAGGAAGAGAAGGCTGAGAAGGACCGGGGATCAAGAAGGGGAGGAAGCGCTCAGCGACCTGTGGACGCTGCACTGATCCTTATAGCAGAACGCCGCAGAAAACGCCGCGGCGTGTCGCTCCGGAGGACAGCAGGAATATAAACTCAAGATGCAGGTGCTGCCAGCATAAGAGATATCGGGTCGAGGAACACACCGAGCAACAGTGGCGGTATCAGGATGTGCCTGGCTCAATACTGATATAAGGTTTATAGATAAGGTTAAGTGCGCGGTGTAGCTGTCCACGGGGTAGATAGGAAGGTGCTGAAGCCTTGAAGAACATGAAGAGCTGTCTATATGATACCAGACTCAGTCGTGCACTCTGGATATCACAACTCCGGAGCGCAGAAGGCGAGGATATCCCGTCGCAAAGCATTGAGCGTAGACATAGGACACAGAACCTAGCATTGAGTAGGAGTTGCCTTCCGGAGACATCATGATGAGGACATCATACGGGGATAAAACCAAAAATTTACATGCCCATCGCCACGGGCGGCACTTCAGCGTACGTCAACTGAGAACAAATGCTTCCGCACGGCACTTCGAGCAGCTTACGACTGCAGCCAACTTCGCACAATGCTCTCCAGCTCCTGTTGATGGTTGAACCAGAAATGCGTCGCTCCTTCCACCCGTTCAATTCTCAGAGCAACAGCCCGCCGCTCATGCATGAGCGTCTGTGCCCATGCATCATACTTGCCGATACCAGTAAACTCGTCTCTAGTACCGTAGACAATAAGAACGTCCGCGGCGGGGTCCTGCACGAGTGTTGCTAATGCTTTGGTGTATGTCCCCGTCCTGAAGGCTGTGAGCCAGCCTCTCGGCCCGAGCGGATACGAGAGAATGAGGTGGTGTGTCTTGATGGGTGGAGGAAGCACAGGGTGCAGGGATGCGATGAGAGAACCGTGTGAATACCCCTGTAGACGAACAGGGCCGTGCTGAATATACTAACGTCGTACCAGCTTCAGACTCACGGCGATCAGCACATGTTCTACATTGGGCGACCTCCCTGTCAACCACTGCACAAGGTCCTTCAGGTCCTGGGCCTCGCTGGCGCCGGTGAGAGACGGCCACCCTGAGGATTTGCCCACCCCCCGAGAGTTGTATCTCACCACGCAGTACCCAGCTCTGAGGAAGACTCTCTGCAGACACATCAAGGTCCTGCGATTTAGACGCAGCCCACAGAACGACACTTAGATATCACGAAGACGGGAAACGCGACGAACGCACGGGTCTTCCTTCCTTCCGCCGAGCCAGGACCAAGGATGGAGACATACAGCTAACTTGGTAGGGCCAGCTTCACCTTCAGAGGGAAAAATGATGTCGACTTCCAGGGAGAGCCGAGAGGGAAGCTCTATGAGCTTGTTTTTCCATGGCTCCAACCGAGCAGAGTCCATCAGGTTACAAGTGAGTAGGGCTGCCTCGGACCTTGGTGGCGAGAGCAAACGCAGCGTGAGAGTTCCAAGAGACTGTGGGAGACTAGAAAGGTAAAGCATATATCTCGAAATTGTGGCAATTGTGGCCGAGTCGTGGAAGCTCTATCGGATCCACTTCTGTCCTCTTCTCCATAGTCATGAATTCTGCATCCGGATTGATAATCCATCTAACGTCTAACACAGCGTCTTGAAAACAAAATACCTCACTGTGAAAATTAAATTGACGAGGCACCCAAGCAAATATTATTCAGCTGATCACACCGAGTCTTGCCTAGGATCGCGTAGCACCCATCCATGCCAACAATACTTCTCTCATTCTGCGACAAGGAGGATCACAAGTTTTATACCCGCGGGAAGCACCAGGGTGGTATAGCCTGGGGCTTAAATTATTGGCACTAGCTGTCCATACTCGCTCCCCGGCTGGGTAGTTTACGCTCAACGCCGTGCCGGACAGGGAGGTACGGCGGCGAGCCAGACTGGGTGAGCAGCTCATAGAATTTGATCATCATACTTATTGATGATAGCAGTAGGTTTGAATGATCATTCATCGGTAGCCTTGAAACCGCCATAAGCGACATCACTTGAGAGGTGGTGCCCAATGGATGCGAAGTACGGCTATGAAGATGAAGACCCCACAACTATTACATGCTAATCAAGAAGTATCTCTGCTGCTCCGATTGGCTGTCTGCACCTATCCTCAGCGTACTACTACCCTCTGAATGGTGAGACTACCAGTTTATGTACACTGACTGTCCGTGTCGACACGCCTCCGCTCGCTTATACGTGTTGGGACAAAGGAGCCTCAGTATCTTAGACGGCGGGCCAATGCCGACCCGCGACATCCCGTTTGAGACGGGCTCGGGCTCTGCGTGGCTCTGGTAGTCTCAGCGGCACGATGCCCATATCATCCCGTCGAAGGTGGCTACTTTTATTTATGTTATCATCGCTACGGCCGTTCTGCTCTACGATGCCTTTCTATCAGCCCCAGAATCTTCCACAAACAAGCACGACGAAGACCTGACCGATGTTCAAGGTACATACCGTTCGCTCTGCAGCAGGTCTTCGGCCTTTCGTACTGGGTGGGACAAGACGGATGAGCGTTCGACCACCTGATACGAATGGTACTGAGACTCCAGGCGGGGGATCTGCACGTGCGTAGACCCTTCCTGCTCTGACTTGCCGACATCCTGATGTATGTATGAAGCCCGGAAGAAGGTCACAATAGACTTTAAACAAGATGCGCCATGCGGGTACACCTATAGCGATAGTCACCGCCTATGATTTCCCCACGGGCCGGGCCTGCGATTTGTACGGGGCGGATATGACGTTATGCGGGGACTCCCTGGGTCAAGTGTGCTTGGGCTACGACTCGACCACTCGACTGACGATGGACGAGATGGTGCACCACTGTCGCGCAGTCTCGCGCGGCAGCAAAAATCCGTTCTTGATCGCAGACATGCCTTTCGGCGCCTACTACACCTCCCCCGAAGACGCGTTGCGGAACGCCATCAGGCTGGTTCAGGACGGGGGTGCGGAAGGCGTCAAAATGGAGGGCGGGGAAGAGCTCGCGCCTACAGTCCGCAAGCTGACCAGCGTCGGCATACCCGTCATTGTGCATATGGGTCTCACTCCCCAGCGCCACACTTCGCTCTCAGGATATCGCGTGCAGGGCAAGGACGCCCAATCCGCATTGTCCGTCCTCCGGACCGCTTTAACCCTTGAATCCGCCGGCGCATTCTCCATCCTCCTGGAGGCGATCCCGCATCTTCTCGCCACGCATATCACCAACAGGCTGTCCGTGCCCACGATTGGGATAGGTGCCGGACCCGGGACCAATGGACAGGTTCTCGTGTGGGATGACCTCATGGGGACGTGGCATGGGCATAAAGCCAAGTTCGCGCGACGCTTCGCGGACGGCCAAGCGGAAGAGAAGAAGGGGGTTACATGCTTCGTTATTGCGGTTAAGGAGCGAAGCTTCCCAGACTTGACGAGTGAGAGTTACGAGATGGCTCAGTCGGAATGGGAAAGGTTTCTAGAGGCCGAGAAGAGTTGATAGTGGTTTAGGTCCTCCACGCCGAGGGTCATCGACCTCCCTTTCAGCATTTGCGGTTACGATGAGTAGGCACGATACACTCCTCCCATTGGAAATAGAAAGTTAAGAATAGTGACATGGTGGCGCGAAATTATGTGGCTTTCCTGCCTTCCACTTCTTCCGACGTGATGCCTATTTGATTGCTGAGCATCATTTTCGCCGTTATGCACTGAAGCACCGTCTAATCGATGAATGCAGCCGAGAGCGAACAAATGACCACATTCCAAGCGAAAATCGTACACACCAATCCAATAAAGCTGCCCGCTGCCCATTCTCATCAGTAGTCATCTCGATCAACCCCATACACTCTCGCAGGTATATTTGGACTGCACAGTGGTCGGAAGGCGGTCAGACGGGCAGGTCCCACCATCTGCAGGATATCGCATAAAGTCCCAGGTTATGCATTTATGACCCCTTCCCCGAATGTGCTGCGTACTCATAGATTGTCCCCGTACAGCACTCTTCATATATAACATCCCACGCACAATCTAATCATTAGGAAGACAGGTCAGCAGTGCACCCAAGCTATTCAACACCGTTTGCTGATCACTCTTGCTCGCGTCCGTCTTCGAGCTCGCCTTGAAGACACTAACGCTCGCATAGCACCCGTCCGTGCCAACAACGCTGCTCTCGCTCGGCAACGACGAGGACCCGCACGTCTGCACATCCACGGGTAACCCCAGAACGCTGTACACCCTCGACAAAACGAACTTGAAATCCTCGGGACTCGCGCAGTCTGTCCCGGGTCCGGCTGCTGGGAAGTTCACGTTCAGCGCGGTGCCGGCAGGGAGGTACGGCGTCGCGCCGGACTGGACGAGCGCGCCGGCGAGCCGCAGGGAGGCTTGGGCGTAGATGTAGCTGTAGTCCCCGGGCGCGAGCTCCGTGTATGATCGTTCTGATCCGGTGGCCGCGCTGAAGGCTATTGATGGGATGCCCAGCTTCGCGCCTTCAGAGGCGGCCCCCACGGTGCCAGAGAACTGGGTGACTATCCCCAGATTGTCTAGGATGGCGTATAGGGATTGTATCAGCGTCATGGCGAAGAGAGTAGCTATACTTACTGCCGACATTGGGCCCCGTAAGGATGAGCGACGGCGGGCCACCGAGGTACGTGGAGGACAGGTTTTGCACGCCAAACTGGACTGCGTCCACCGGATGTGCGTTGACATACCATATATGATCTACGCAGTCCGAGTCATCACTCACTGATGCATATATGCACTTCAATGTCCAAGATTCAAGCTTACCGTCCGTGGCGTTATGTCCCTCTGCAGGAGACCCGGCGGGGATGCTGTCGAACTCCCCAGGCTCGTCGAGAGGCGTAGGCGTCACGGATGTGGACCCGGTGCCGGACTGATTCTCCGCTGGAGCGGACAAGAGGACCTATGTGAATCGGGAGCGTCAAGTCCTGTTCTTAACCTGGCATCGAAAAACAAAACAAAATCCTACATTGTACCCAGCGCTCTTGGCTTCAGCGTACAACGCCCGGATATTCGCCTCCGCCCCTGGTATAATAACATTACTCAACCGATATATCCCTTGAAGTACATCTACTCACATCCATCGTCATTGCTAAGCAGCAGACTAACTCCCGCCTGTCGACGAGCCGGAACCGCCGTCGCACCCACCGCCCACAGCGCGCACACGAGCAGAGAGCGAAGGACAGCCATGGTAGTGCGAGTCCCACCACCCTACGCAATCCCTCCCAGCTTTATACGTTACTCGTACTCACGCCTACCCCGCACCGGATAGTTTATCTGCCACTGCTTCCGGCAGCACATTGTCATGGCCAAGTAACGCAGCACTACGGTGACCGGAAGCACATGCTCGGAATCTCTGCGAAGGGGAGCGGGAGGAGGACGGCAACCACCGGCTGATAGACTAGCCAATCAGATGGGGCGTGCGCTTCCACGTTCTCAGTGCTTCGCGGGCCCGAGAGCGCCCTTTCGGAAACCGAGTCCAGCATGCGATGAACGTTCATCATTCCGCCCCAGATGGATGACGAATAAATATTACTCGCGAAATGTACAGTATACACAATTGCACAGAAGTTAGAACGAACATGAACGAAAGTGGGTGGTACTAGTACTATGTCCCGGGCTAGCGCCTCGCGAAACTAGTCCAAAAACGCCATCTCACTCAACCGCCGGCTTTCCGAATCCTCGATCCCCTTCATCTCCAACAATATGCTGCCACGAGAATGCATTGTCGGGTTCGCGGGCGCCCTCCGCAGGCCTACCCCGGGCCGCTTACTATCCGCATCGTCCACATACTCAGAGGGAGGGCGCGGGGCAGGGGCGGAAGCACCCCTGTGGCGCCCAGCGAAGCTGGACGGCGGGGGGTTGTACGAGGTCTTCGGTCGCTTCTCCCCGCCGTTGAGTGTCCGACGCAAGCTGGTGAAGGAACCTTTCTTGAGTGAAGGGCCTTCAGAGTCAGACGCAGAGCCAGATGGCTATCAAACAATCAATCAGAGCTCATTCAAACGAGACAGAGGATCGACAGCTCACCCGTCTCGAGAAGAGCGCGAAGGACTTGCGCTTCTCGGTCGAACTCGCCTCCGACGGCGCCGCGCTCACTGGCCTTGCAGTCACATGCGCGGGGGGCAGCGGAAGCGTCTTCGTCTTGCTCTCCCGCGCCCTCCCGCGCGCGACGCCGTGCTCGTCACACCCCGCGCGCATCTCCATCTCCGCGATCCGCTGCAGCGGCGTGAACGCCTCCTGCGGGTTGCCCAGGACCCCGTCGATGGGCCCGAGGGACGCCCGGCGGCGCATGTCCTGCAGCTCGACGTCCCGCGGCGACGCCGGCGACTGCACGCTCGACGAGTCGGACGCGGAGAGCGAGAGCGAGGGCACCTCCGAGTCGGTCGTGTTGCGCGTGCTCGTGCTGTTGCTCTTGATCAGGCCGGGGCGGGACGCTGTCGGGGAGAGCGGAGCAGAGGACGAAGGGACGTGGGGTGGGGGAGAGGGCAAGAGTTTTGGGGTGGCGTTTACGGGCGTGGCGGGGGAGGAGGAGATTTGGATGGGCGGAGGAGGGGGTCGCTTGGTGGGGTGCGGCGGGAGACGCGCGAATCGGTCGGAAAAGGAGCCGCTGGTTGTGGGCGAGGTAGGCGACGGCAAGGACTGGGAGTGCGGTTGTTGTGGTTGTGTAGTCGTGACAATCGAGGGAGAGGATACCGCCCGCTCCGTAAGCTTCTCCGACACAGGGCTGGCCGTCAGAGTCCGGCTCACGTCCTGCGCCTCATTCGTACTCGTGCCTGCAACGTCGTCCATCCTCGGCACCTCGCACTCGTCAGACGGGGGCACTGACCGTAGCTCCCGCTCGCGCGCCTCGTACTCCTCGCGCACGCGCATCGCGGCGGTCTTGCCGCCGCGCCCCGCCTCCTCGTCGCTCAGGGGCTTCACGTACGTCTTGCACTGGTCGCGCGCGGCCTCCTGCGCAGAGAGGTCGCGCGTGGGGAGCAGCCCACGCTCGCGGAGAGCTTTTTCGCGCAGCTCCTTGTTCGTAAATTCGTTCGGGAGGGGCGGGGAGCCGTGCTTGGAGAGGGAGGCGCTGTGCGCGGGGACTTGGGGGAGGGCACCGGAGACGCGGCGGCGTATCCTGGTCGTCATGCGCTTGATGATGCCGGTTTCCTCACTACGAGAGATATCAGCATGCTTGACCGCGATTTTTTGCAGCGGCTGCGTCTTTTCGTCGAAACCGCAGGCAAGACGGCGCATACAGCGACGCAAGACATATGTAACTGGGCAGATTCGCTCACCGTTCAGCTCCTGACAGATCTGGGTCTCTGCTCGCATTGCGCTTGGGTAGTTTACTAGAGATGGAGTTGTTAGCACGGCTAGGTGGCCTCAGGACTAGGAGCATTGTGGATGCAGAACGAAAATCAGAGACGCCTCCATTGCACTCTTTGACTGTTGTACAATACAAAATGCGCGGGCGCACTAACCTGGAGGACTGAAGAGCGGGTGACGCACTACCCGTCGCGGTTCCGCCGCTAGCGTCCGTCCTATGGATTCTCCCCCTCTCCCCGTCCGCTCTCCTATCAGCATCCGCATCCGAGACCGGTTCAGGGGGCAGGTCTTTCTTGCTGAGAGCTGGTTCCTGGGAGGTGCGGGAGCGACTGGCGCTGCGCGCGCGGAAGCCAAAACGTTTAGGGAAGCTGGAGGGCGGGGACGCGGCTACGGCGACGGTCGATGATCGGGCTCGATCGTGCTCTCTGGCCATTGCTGTCCGACTGGGGCAGTCTTAGGAGGGTATCGCGCACGGTGAGAAACGGAAAGCAGAAGAGGGTATATATGGCTGGGAAAGCAGCGGACGGGGATATAATTGGCGGTGCTTCCAGAGCGAGAGGAAATAGCGACGCTGTGGGAGAGAGGCAGGCGTTATATAGGAGCCGCATTGAGGGAAACAGGAACTTGGTTGGTAGCCAGGAGCCGCCATCAGGCAATGCACAAGCGGGCCAGCCAATCGAACCCGTGAGCCTTCTCGCCTATGTCACAAGACACCCTGCGCGAGTGCTTTTCCCTGCCTTCTCACGTTTCACCCCCCTTCCCCGACGTCGTCTGCCACAGCGGCGACGCTACTTCCCCGCCACGAACCGATCATTCAAATCCCAGCGGGGCAGCCAGCCACCTGCCACAACTTACGCTTTCCCCGCATCTCTGATCGCCATCAACGCCGGCGTCCGAGCCATACGCGCCCAGATTTACTACCGCCGATTGGTCTATCGGCCGCGGCTAGATCCCTGCTTTGCCCCGACATCCATGCACACCGCCGGGACCGATGCGCAGTGCTTGTCAATGCGCAGTACTGAGTATGCCGGAGACAGAGTTGCTCCTTATTCTCGAATCGTCCCGCCTGTAATCTCTCGGCCCAGGTACGACCTGCGCGTCTGCTTTATATACTGTCAGCCTGACTCTCCGTGATGCGGTCGACGCCCCAAATCGACAGTCATCTTTGGCTTGATATTGCGCTATTCAAGAGGCACTGGAGCGGTGGGCCCTCGCCCTGCTTTAACAACCCGTTGTCGGGGCCCAGCTGCAGACAACCACATGGATTTAGAGGATCCCATGTACACGCCCTGGGCTGAGGCTTCGAAACTTAATCGGGAGAAGCTTTGTGGGACCATTGTAGGTGCCGTATTCTCACCTGCATACTATACAGTCATTTGCATATGAAACCGAAAATCGGGTTTCCGTGAGCATTGTTTGTTCGAGCCAAATATACCCATATGCAGTAATGCGAGATGGCTTCTTGTGACTGTGTGACTCTGTAGACTGCAGCCCGCCCTCAGGCTGACAAACTGCATGTGCTGTGTAGTCTGTTGTAGACTCGATCTCGTAGCTCATCAAGGTAGATAGCAGGCTCTCCCTCAATTACTGATCGCACGAAGTTCATATCCTGCATGTCCAGAGTGCGCGGCCGGCCTCGAGGTCTAGCATTCGGGTTGATGACTGTGCCGTATTCCGTGTACTAGTAGAGTCGGAGAACTTCGAAGACTGTGCTTATGCTGCATCCCGCAAGCTCAGAAATCAC